TTTCAAAACTATTTGTATTTTTTAAAAATAGGTTGAATTATTTTATATTAAAATATTTGATATATTATATATTGTTACAATGCTATAGCCTTCTTTATAACCACATAGCATAGTAACAAGGTCATCTGGTGCAGAGATTCTGCTACTGGAATATACATGGGGTGGATGTGGAGTACAATTAAGTATCTATAGCAGAAGGTAAGTAGTTCGGTATTAGAATAGTGTATTTTAAACCTTTATTTATTATAAAACAGAGAATAATCTCCTTTAGAGATTCTAAAGAGAGTTATACATTACAAGAAAAAATTACAAGACTAATTCTACATGAGAGAGAGGTAATAGTTTCCAACTAGATACTTGTTAAAACCTATCTAAACCTGTACAAGATCTGTCTTTCCAAGAAGGAGTTAATGCTCTCTTTATATACCTTTTACAAAATAGAAGAGAGAATTGAGGGAAATGTAACATTGTACTTGAGGGAGTTGAAAGACATACTTGAGAGAGTAGGAGGCCATGTTGAGGGACTTAAAGACCGTGTTGAGGGAGTAGAGAGTGTTGAGAGAGATGAAGGCTGTATTGAGGAACTTGAAGGTATAGTTGAGGGACTTGAGGGCCATGTATAACTTTAGTCACATTATGTGCCACAGTGGCTTTAACTCTCTTTTAAATACTAATATTAATACAAATATAATAAATATCTAATACAAAATATAAGTTAATAAATATAAACTAAATAATATAAATATGAAATATAAATAAACTATAAATATAAACTATAAAATATTAACTATGCTAAACTACTTTATATTGTAAAAACTTGTTTTATAACAATATAAATTTTAATTGAGCTATCTTAATGAATATTAATTCAATTTTGATAATTTAACTACCATTATGACCAGAATAAAATGCTGAATAATATTTATTAAAAAAATTAAAAATTTTATTAAATTGTTCATATTTTTTAAAAATAGTTTGAATTATTGTATATCGAAATATTCAATATATTATATATAAATTTTAATTGAGCTATCTTAATGAATATTAATCCAATTTTGATGATTTAACTACCATTATGACCAGAATAATGTGCTGAATAATATTTATTAAAAAAAATTACAAATTTTATTAAAAGATTTTGAAACTATTTGCATTTTTTAAAAATGTATTAAATTATTTTACATCAAAATATTTGATATATTATATTTAAAGGATTAATAAATTTGTAACCGCGGTTACTGTAACCGCATCCAATAAAGCCAATCAAAATTTAAGATCAGGTGTAACGTGAAATCAAAACAAAACCAGTTTTTTTAAGAAATCGTTAATAACTCAAAATTTTGACTATAAAACTATCATTTACGTTCTAACAAAAAAAATTCCTTGCTAAATTTTGATATAAACTATGCCCTTTCCCACTCCAAGCCTCACTCTAACCCTAACCTTAATTGCAAAGTTTTATTTTTATAAAAAATAATTGTTTTGATAATTATGTTACACCTGATCTTAATTATAGTTACAGTAACCTACGGTTACAAATCAATTAATCCATAAAATTATAAGTAATAAATAAAAAAAAAATAAAAAAAAAAATTTAAAAAATTCAATTAAACAAAATGAAAGATTTGGACCTATTTCAATTATAATTTTAGAATTCATTATATAATTAAAATTCTAGTTGGTCTGAAAGACTAACTAGAATATTTTAATTACTGATTAATTACCTTTCATGTGAATATAAACAATTATTTTATAATAATTTACAATCCAGATAAACAAAATAATAATAAAAATTACAAAATAAAATTTAAATTTTTTAAGATATATTATTAATATAATTTTTAAAACTACTTGGTTAATTGATAAATATGTAGTGTCGATAGATGTTGAAACTTTAATTGCATCTTCAATAAATTTGTATAATTTTTCATCTCTAAATAAAATATTGCGAGTAATTTCAGTAGCTGTGCTTTTAGTTTCATCACATCTTCTATTAATACGTGTAATTAGATTAGCTGTAAGGACAATTTTTATATCAGTATTTGGAAGAATATTTGTTGTTATATCATGTCTAACTACAACAAATCTCTTTTTTCTTGTAATTTCTTGAATAATTTCATTTATTATTTTTCTAATTCTATTATTTTGTGCGATAGATGCTGCCTTTTGTCTATTTTCTAGATATAATTCACTATGAAGCTTATAAACAAAATTAAATTCATTTAGATAAAATACTGGATTATCGATAATGTTTTTTTTTTTGCTTTGAAGTTGTAAGTAAATTAGATCAACAGAAAGAAAAGAGTAAACCATTGCAAAATAATGATATAAGATACCACTATCAATAAATGTATATCCAAGTTTTATAGCCAAATGTTTTCCAACTATTGTTTTTTCAGACCTACACAACCCATCAATGCCTATATTCAAATCCATTTTTATATAATTATATTTCTATTCGGTCTAAACTGAATAGAATTAATAAAAAATATGATCTTTTTTATAAACAACTATATTTTCATTAGTTATAGTTTCCATTATAACTATAATATCATCTACAATTTCAAATTCCAATTTATAATTGTAGTTAGAAGTATCAAAAGTCTTACATTTACCTATAGTAGTAACAATATGTAATAATTTATTAAATTCAGTAAGATTAAAAGATTTTGTCTGAAGATATTTAATAATTCGTGTAGATTGTTGATTTTTTAAATAGAAATTATTTATATGAATATATTGATCTAAACTAACATTGTTATTCTCGAATAAAATATATTTTTTAATATCCATCTAATCGAATAATGTGTTTTTGATCAAAATATTTTTTACAATTAATACAAAAATTACAATAATATACTTTCCAAACAAAACTACCAATATGAAATACATATCTATTGGATATATTTATATTTTTCAATAGATTATCAATAGTGGAATCAAGTTTTACACTATATTCATATTTTGCACAATAAGTAAATTCTTTACATCTATTACAATAAGTTTTTTTATAGCTTTCGAATTCTTTTACATCTACAAAATCCAGATAACTACATTTAGTAGTAAGTTTAATTCTTTTCACTCCACAAAAAAACTTCTTAGACATATCTTGCTTTAAATGAGAATAAAACCATTTTTCACCAATTTTAAAATCTACTCAGATATTCTTTGTAGTATATCGAATCTGAAATAGTACTTCAATAGGTGGTGAATGAAGAAATGGATCAAAATGTTAAATAAATTTATATTTTACCCATACCATCTAATTAATGTTTTATAATTTAACCAAAATTGTTTAGAAACCCATTTTAAATTAACAACTGTTTTATCTAACGGAGTTATTCTTTCTTTGAAAAGAAAACAAAATATGTTTATAATCAGCTTAGTAGGTAGAGGAAGATAGTTAAAGGTTTGTGTTTTAAGATATTTGTTTTCTTGTTTCACTTCTTTATAGGTTTCTTTATCAATATATCATTTTTTTTTTGTTTTCGATTGGTTTAAAACGTTTGTTTTCTTGTTTCACTTTTTTATAGGTTTCTTTATCAATATATTGCTTAGACATTTTGAATTACGTATTTAAAATTCTAATTGGTAATAAATACTAATTAGATTTAAAATAATTTGTTATTTTGCTATTTAATTTTAATTTTTTATTAGTACTATTTGCAAATTCATTTTTATGTTTAGAAGTAATTTTTAATTTGTTATTTAATTTTGTTTGTATTAATTTACCACCATTAACTTCATTATATAGCGAAATTATTTTTTTCTCTACTTCTTTTTTATCACATCCAAAAAAACTAACACATAAATCTTTTGAACTCTTTAGATAATATAGTAAATCAATTTTATATTTTTCTGGTTTATAATCTGACGTTAAACAAATTTTATAGCCAATATTTTTATAATCCAAATCCAACATATAATAAAAAAATCATCCAGGTTGTAAAGTTTTCCCTCTTTCTTTTAACTTTGTTTCAAAATCAATTACCATCTTATTTCCTCCCTTTTTTTTCGGTTCATGTTTCATCTTATTTAATACAATTTCCTTTTTGTTATTATTCTCAATTATAAATTTACATGCACTTCTACTATATTTTGGATTAAATTTTGTATTCAAAGTAAATAGTTTTATATCATGTGATTTTTTAGTATATTTCAAAAGTACTTCACAAGCAACTTGTTTAGGCTTTTTAGTAATCTTTTTCAATTGATGTTTTTCATTAAATCCTAATGCACTCCATATTATTTCTGTCCCGAGTTGTTTATTAAATTCTGATATACAACCTATCCTAGCTAGATTTACTTTATTCATTTAAACTAATAATAGCATTAAATAGGAAATAGGAGGTGTAATGTCACATTGGGTGCTTTGTAGCACAAGTGTAGTTAGAAATCTTTAACTATAGAAATTTATTTTCTAATCAACCTTCTTAAAATTTACTAGTTCAAGTTGAAGGGTTTTGGCAGCCTGGTTATAAATAAGTAGCTTATCTGTCCCCTTACCTGGATTTGTAACTATAAGATAACTTTCAATCTTCGGACTGACTGTAATAAAGTTTCTACTATGATATTATATAATAATAAAAAAAAAAAAGAGTTTGTTATAATATCTTGGTTAAGTTTAATATTATTAAATTTAATAGAATCTTTATAATAGTTTAAGATATTGTTAATCATAAAAGTAGAGTGTGTTTAAAGTTTGGTATATTCTTTATAAATATAATTATTAATTTGTTGTCTAATTTTTCTATATTATAAGTGTAATATTTTTTTATACTTTATTAGCATTTAAGATTCAGAAAAAAGATGATGATATAAGTTAGAGATAGTAGATAGTTGTAGACTTAAAGAGTAGTTAAGAGAAGAAATAATAAAGTTAAAGTACAAAGGTATAATAAATAATATTATCAAGTTTTTTAAATTAAACTAAAGCAAAGAAGCTTTAAAGAAAAATATATGTTAAAAATTGTAAAATGTAAATTTTTTGTTTGAGATATGTCAAAAAGCAGCAGAAATAATACTTATACCAAGTTGATTCAAAAATTTTATTAGTAAGTATAGCAAGATTAATTGCAATATGAGCATGTTGAGAAATAGAATATAGGGGTAAGAAATAGTGTAAATGAAAGATTTTTTTAAAATTTAGGCTTGTAAAGAGAATAGTAATAAAGTTGGAAAGAATATTTTTAAAGATAAAATATAATAATTCAGGTAAAATATTAGAATTAAAAGAGAGTATATTAGAGATATTTTGATAAATAATATTAAAAAGAAATTATGGTTTTTGTAAAATCATATCTTGTAGTAGATTATTAAAGCTATTACAAATAGGTTGTTGAGAAATAGTAGAAGTATGAGTTGCATTTCTAGAATAAAAGTTTTGGAAAAAAGGTTTAATAAAATTTAAAATATTAATTCCAAGATGAGTTGAAAATTATGTTAAATTTTGAGCTTCTGGAATGATTAGAAATGCTTGAAACTAATCAAGCATATCACTAGAAAGCTTATAATGAGGAAATTTTTATTAAATCATAGTTAGTTTAAAGTATAAATACTAAAAGTAAAAAGAAAAATAAAAAAACATAATAAAAAAATATATAGATAGTTTGAAAAATAAATATTGATAGCATATTTGATCATGCAATTAGAATCAGATGATTTTGGATTCATTAGAAGCAACTTAAAAAGACTATCATTTTGGTAGTTAAATTGTCTGAATTAGTTAGATAGATCAAAAGTTATTAAATTTTAAAAATTTTAAATAATAGTAAATATAATTGTTACTATATATAAAATAGTAGATAAATATAAAGATATAGATGAAAATATAAGTTATAAATATTTAATTTTTTGTAATTTTAGGGTGTAGATTATGTAAAAATCATGTGCAGAAAATTTGGAGTATTGAGATAGTAAAGTTAGCTAAAAAAGGTTATTATATAAATAGTAAGCTTTTGTATAATAATTAGCAAATTTGTATAAAATTGATTGTTGAATGAAAAATATAAAAGGAAAATTAATATTTCCATAATATAAGTTAATTTGGATAGATTTGAAGGTAGTTGAATATTATACAAAATTTATGTATAGTGAAAAAATACAAAAAAAGTTGTAAAAGTGAGTAAAAGAGAGCTAAAATATTTTAAAGAGTAATTTTATCAATTTTAATGCTACAGAAATGAAATATAATTATGATGAGAAAAATAAGTAGAACAACTTTTAATAAACGTAGTGCAGAGGTTTAAAATCAGGGTAAAGAGAAAATAGCAAATGTTTAAATTTTTTGACTAAAAAATGTTTAGAACTTTACTTTACAGATATAAAAGCTAGAGACTTGAAATTTGAATATTATGTGTGTTTTGATGAACTGAACAAGTTTACTTAGAAAGTTGAGTTAGGTTAGCATAGTAAAATTTGTATAAATAGATATTTTTTATTGGACAGATTTTAAATAAATTTTGTATTAGAGATTTGCAGAAAGAGTTATCTATAATTGATGTTTACTTAGTATATTAATTAATAAAACTTTGTAAATTTTAAGATTTTATAAACTTTATTAATAAAATTTATAAAATCTTATAAATTTTAAAATTTTACTAATTAATTTTAATTTTATATACTAAATAAATATATTTAACAACAAAATATATATAATATATATTCAAACTTAGACTAGTTTGTAAACTTTAGACCAAACTTAAACTGAACTTATAATTAAGTCTGAGTCTAGTCTAAAGTCTAAAATTAGTAAATTATAAAGTCTAAGTCTAATTTAGTTCTGAATCTAAGAGTTCTAGCTTCTAGTTTATTTGCCAAAGATATAAATAAGTTTTCAAAAACTAAAGCAGAAAAAAATTTTAATTAACTTTTATAAAAACTATTTTTATAGTATTCTTTATTATCTCTAGAAATTTTGAGTTTGTTTGTAAAAATTTTAGTACTATAAAATCTTAAAATAGCAAACATAAGTGTTATTTCAAATCTTGGCCAAAAATTGTAATTTCACCCTGTGCAGTATTTTGAGATTTTATAGTACAAGTAACTATTGCTTTATATTTTACTTGAAATATAAGGTAAACAGAGATAATTTGGCAAATAGATATAATTTGGTGAATTGCAAAATCTCAAAATTCTTTGGTTAAAATTAAACAATTTTACTACTATTCGATTTGTCTCATCAAAACAATTTGAATAGTACAAAAATCATTTAATTTTGATTACTGGGTTATGAGATATTAACATCAAAATATAATATATTAATTTTTTTTTAAAGAAGTTAATATATTATATTCAGACACATTTGGATACTA